AGATTTAATTAAAGAAATCATTCAATTGAAAAAAAATCAAAAATTAAAGTATTTGCTTAATTTTTTAATAAATATCTCAAAATAACTTTATTGTATTATTATTAAAATTATTTAAATGTAATTTCAGAATTTGTTTAACTTAACAAGATGTTTAGTGAAAATATAAATCAAAATTTGTTTGAAGAAATTCAAAGGTTAGTAAGTAAAGAAATTCGACAAGAGGCAACAAGGAAACGAACTGATAACAATGCCAAAAAGATTTATTTCATTAGCAAAAATGATATCTTTGGTTCAAAAAATTCCAATGACTCAGAAAAAAAAGAACCTCTTTATGATAATCGTTATTTAAGCAAAATATATGAAGATGTCTGCATTGCCATTCGCAGTTACGAGTCAAATGACGAATTTTCTTCCAAACACTTTGTTGCGATATTAAGCATAGCTTTTGCTCCATTCGTAGAAAATAACTATCTATCAAATAGACCATATAAATTCAAGTTTAAATTAAAGAACACCACCACTGAAGCGGTATATAACTTTAAGGATAATTCAATTGAAAAACAATCAGACAAAGAAGTAGAAAATCAGTATGGTATTGATTTAAAAAAACAACCAAGTGCTTTAAAAATTATTCTTTGTGTAATAGAAGCAAGCAGAGAATACATTGAACTATTGACAAGTTGCTGGATTAATCCAAAAAGTTATGATAAAAGGTCTGTAATTACAACTGCAGCAGCAAATCTTATACTTAACCTTGAAGACAAATTAAATAAAATATTACACTTAATAAGCAAATCAGTGAATGGAAGAATTATAAATGATTATCTTGATATTCCAAAACATTTACTTTTCGCTTCTACACTTGTTGAATATGGTGAGAATTTATCAAAGGAAAAAATGAGCCAATTTAATGATTATGTTGATTATGCTAAAAAACAGAAATCATCCAAGAAACCAAGGAAATTTTTTAACGATTATGAAGAGTTTAAAGATAATGACCTAAAAAACCGAAGTTCAGCATATGGAAAACTTAAATCAGATGCGATAAAATCAATTAATTCTCTAAGATCACTTCCAAGTATTATAAACTTATCTATATTTAAGATAAAAATTTCCAAAGGCACTTTGACTGAAGAACTTGCAAGAATGCAGGTAACAAATAGAATCAAAAAATTCTTATATACCTCAATA